CCAGACTTCGTAAAAGGATACCGCAAGATATTTGAAAAGAAGGCCGCAGAACGATTTCCAGAATCCAAACCATGGGACCATGCAATCGACCTAAAACCAGGCTTCAATTTTCACAAGGACAAGAGATGGAACAAGATCTATCCCCTCACCCTCACAGAGCAAGCTGAATTAGAAAAATTCATTGAAGAAAACATGAGAAAGGGGTACATCAAGAAATCAAAATCCCCATTCGCTTCACCATTTTTCTACATTCCAAAAAAAGATGGGACACTCCGACCAGTCCAAGATTATCAAAGGAGCCAAGTACTTCACCAAGTTGGACGTACGAGCCGGATACAACAATATTCAAATCAAGAAAGGAGACGAATGGAAGGCCGCGTTTATAACCCCCAAAGGACTATATGAACCCACAGTAATGTTCTTTGGACTATGCAATGCCCCAGCGACCTTTCAGAGCATGATGAATCAAAACTTCAAGGACCTCATTCGCGAAGGATGGATGGTTATCTACATCGATGATATTCTAATCTTCTCCAACGACTTAGAAGAACACCACAGAAGAACACTAAGAGTTCTCAGGAGAATTCAAGAACTAGACTTCTACCTAAAACCATCCAAATGCGAATTCGATAGACAAGAAGTAGAATTCCTCGGATCAATCATACGTCCCGACGAAATAGCCATGGACCCAGTAAAAATCAAAGCCGTACTGGAATGGAAGCAACCAACCAAATTGAAGGAAGTACAGGCCTTCCTAGGATTTGGGAATTTCTACAGACAATTCATCAAGGACTACTCAAAGGTGGTCAAACCATTGACATCACTGACGCGAAAAGACACTCCATTCAAATGGGACGAAGACTGTGAAGCAGTGTTTCAAGAATTGAAGCAGCGGTTCACGACCGGACCAATCCTCAAAATGCCGGATCCCTACGAACCGTTCCAAGTAGAATGCGATGCGTCCAAAGTAGCGACAGGGGCGGTACTACGCCAAAAAGGAACGGACGGAATATGGCACCCATGCGCATATCTATCAAAGTCGTTCACAGAAGCAGAACGAAACTATCAAATCTACGACAGAGAATTACTCGCGATCATTCGAGCATTCAAGGAATGGCGACATTTATTGCAAGGGTCACCACACCCAGTAGAAGTCATCACAGACCACCAGAACCTGACGTATTTTCGCTCCGCGCAACGCTTGAACCCGAGACAAGCAAGATGGCATCACTACATGAACGAGTTCAACTTCACCTTGAAACATCACCCGGGAAAAACAATTGCGCAAGCCGACGCTCTGTCCAGGAGAACAGATCATGAACAGGGGGAGGATGATAACAAGGACATGGTCATGCTACCGGAACAAATTTTCTCACTCAACTCTGTCCAAATTGACATCTCCCAACAAATCCGAAACAACAAAGCCCGCAACCCGGATCTAATACAGTTCTTGACGACCAAAGCGGCTGACAAACCACGACCTGCCTGGGGCAAGCCAAGCGATTGGAAAGAAGAAGAAGGACTGTTACTATTCAAAGAACGTATATACGTACCACCCGACGAGAACCTCTATCGCAACATTGTCAGAATTTATCACGAACCTGCAGTAATGGGCCACCCTGGGATTCAGAAGACTTTCGAACTAGTCAAAAGAGACTATATATGGGACGGAATGCGTAACTTCATCACCGAATATGTAAAAGGATGCGCAAAATGCCAAACCACCAAAGTCAACACCCACCCAACTAAAACAGGATTATTCCCAATCCCACATAGCGGGAACACGAGGCCGTTCAATGTCATAACCACCGACTACATCACAGACCTACCCGAATCAAACGGATACAATGCAGTCCAAGTAGTCGTCGACCACGATGTCACAAAGATGGCCATCTTCACACCATGCACAAAGAACATCACAGCAGAAGGAGCAGCAAAGTTACTTTGGGACCAAGTCTTCAGCCGATTCGGAACCCCCTCTAAAATCATCTCCGATCGAGGCCCTCAATTCGCAGCAGGAGCGTTCAGGGAACTCCACCAACTAATGGGAATGGAAACTGCGTTGAGCACGGCGTATCACCTGCAGACCGATGGTCAAACAGAACGAGTAAACCAAGAACTGGACCTCGCTCTACGTCTCTACTGCGGCAATAACCCAAACGAATGGGCAGATCACCTCAAGGAATTCGAATACGCGCATAATCAACGAACACATTCGGTAACAAAGAAATCGCCGTTTGAACTACTCTATGGTTATCAACCACAACTAGTCAAACTCCCACGCAAGAACCCGAAATACCCAAGCACGGAGGAACGGCTCTCCGCCCTCCGAGCTGACCAAGAAAATACAATTGCAGCCCATAATCACGCAGCCGCGGCAATGACACGGAGATCACCAGGACAGCTAGTCTCATTCAAGAAAGGAGATAAGGTCCTTCTAGAATCAACCAACCTCCGACTCCCATACCCGCACCGGAAACTGGCACCTAAACGAGAAGGACCCTTCGTTATCACGGAAGTCATGGGACCTGTAACGTTCAAATTAAACCTACCACGCACCTGGAAGATTCATCCAGTCTTCCATGCCGCGCTCCTGACTCCATATCGAGTCACCAAAGCACATGGCCCGGACATGCCACGTCCACCTCCTGACGTCATAGACGGCGAAGAGGAGCATGAAGTGGAAGCTATTCTTAACCACCGAATGAAAGGACGCAAGCGAGACAAATTGGAATACCTGGTGACGTGGAAGGGCTGGGAGTCAGCAGAAAACTCATGGGAACCCGAGCACCATTTGAAAAACGCGCCCGATATCCTGAGGGTATATAAGAAGAGACACAAGCTCCTCTGACCCTCATCCCACTTCCACCTCGAATGCGCTTCTCAAGATGCCTCGCCACCACCGCTCTACTCCTCGTCGCGCTCCCCGCCTCTATCCCATCTGCCTCACTACGCCGGACATCCACGACACACCCGACTTCATCAATAACCGCCCCCAGGTCGACTACGACCACCTTCCGACTCTCTATCGCACTAACGAGAGTCGCGGAACCCTCGGAGACCGCATCGGGTGGACCGTCGCGCACTCCGACCTCCACGGACACGTCCGCTACCGCACCCAACATATCCCCCACACCGAGCCCCTCGTCAACGAATACCGCATCGCGACCGAGGCATTCGACGTCTGGAAGACGGTCGACCACTTCGTGCAACGCGCTGGAGCCCCTGCCAGCCAGAAGGCCGTCGCCAAGGAGGCCTCGCTGACCCTTCGGGCCCTCATCGCGCGAGCCGCCGACGTCGCACTCGACCAGCTCACCAGCATCGAGGTCGCGGTCACCCTCAACGACTTACTCCCCACCAACCAGCAGCACCTTCCCCCCTGGGGAAATATCCCGTCCGACATCGTAGAATGGGGATCCCCCAGTGAGCCCGCTCCCGAAGAACGAGTTCGCAACCAGGCCGCCTGGAATGCCCTCACTCCGGCGAACACGGGCACCACGGACGACATCCCACCCCTCATGCCGGTACTCAACCTCCCCGCCGCTGTAACATGCGCCCAAGACACCTCCACGCCGCAGCCTCCTCCCTACACGCAAGAAGACGATTCCGACAAAGAAAACCAACCCCCGGTCACCACCACCGACCTCCTCGCAGCCCAGTCTCTCCTCATGGTCCACCGCAACTGGGTCCGAGCGCAGACCGCGAACGCGGAACCCGGAGTTCAGTTCGGAGTCCTCAACCTCCCTCCCGGAACCCTCGCAAGCTCCTCACGCCTCACCCTCACCGGACCCGACGAGTCCCCGAGCCCACGCCACCATGATGCCCTGGACGACATCTTCGCCGAACTAGAGGCCGAAATCCTCGACTTCCATGACGATGAACTCGTCCTTGTTCACCCACCTCCACGTACGCCGCGATGGCGCGTCCAAGCGGGATCGGGCCGGTATGTCATCACAGCCCATGTCGGCGTCGATCACTACCTCGGCGCGCGTGTGGACTCCTGGCCGGAGCTGTTCACTCCCGCACGTCTTTATGAGTACCTCGAGATCGGTTTTCCCCAAGTTCACGCGAAGATTCGGCACGACCTACACCTCCTGGTCGCTGAGGCCATCGCTCAGCACGTCGACGCTCCATGTGACGAAGTCGTCGAGAACCGGATCGTCGACACTCAACGGTGGAACGCTTACCGCGAGAAGTTCGACCAACCCATCATCACCATACTCCGGAACTACGAGGGGGCTCACCTCCCGATCCAGGAGTACGTCGATCGGGTGTCGATTCAAATCGCCTCGGACCTCACAGCCGTCGGCATCGGGCACGCCCCCGCGGACGTGACACCGCCGACCACCACGTAGAAGGTCGGGACGACCCTCCCTGGGAGAGGGAGCTAATGTTATGATCACGGATACTCGTACGCTGCCCCCATTTAATTTCCATCCATAACCCCCGCTCTCCCTATATGCAGAACTCTTACATACACATGCTGTACCTCCTGACTCATACATACTCATCGCTACTCATCGTGTACTCGCCCTGACTCCTCCTGCGGTACCTAGTCACGACGAGTTGCTACGACTAGGGCTGTGTCATGCGGACTGGTGATGACTCGCAGATAATATGACTCCCCACTCTCGCCCCTGTATATAAGGACGACGCCCCAGAGCACTCCCTCCCCAGACTTGAATCTCCTCTTGTACTACCACGTCTACCTTGACTACGCGCAATCTCACTCATTATCGCTTGCACTCGCTCGATAGCACGCAAGCGCTCTGAGCATCGCCACCATAACCACAAGGCGCCTAGGTCGTATTCCAGCTGGAATAAGCCCTCAGACGTAACAGGAGCTCCACGCGATCGACGCGCGCGCGCGATGCACGCATGCGCCGGTTGAGGAGACCTGCGTGGGAGAGGTCGACATAAGCGACAGATCCGATGGCGCCGTGCGAAGACACTGACCTTTGCAGAACGCCCATGTTGATCACGACCGTTCACCAGCTAGCTCACGCAGCCGCAGTGGCCCCCTCAGAAGAAGGGCCAGCAGTGGTCTGCATCCTGCCCGCGGCGCGGAGCGGGGCACGACCCGAGCGCGCGTTCACGGTGCGCGCACGAAGAGCGGCAAGGTGAGCTGCACGGTCCACTGCGTTTTCCTCGTAAGCACGACCACCGCGGTTGTGCTTGCGCCCGCGCGGAATGTACCCCTTCACGCGAGCGTTGCGGCGCATATTCTTCATGTATTCCTTGACAATCCAAGCCGTCGCCCAACCATTGGTGTAAGTGTTGAGAATAGGGAAGTCCTTGGCCGACTGCAAGAGCGAACACGGGCCAAAGTGCGACCGCGAGCGCGTGAGAGAAACTGTTGAGTACATGTTTGATTTGCGTACAAGTTGACTCACCACTTGGAGGCACAGGGCGAGCTTTTGCTTGTCCTGGTGATGCCAGGTCTCATGCCAGTTCAGACCAGCTGAATGAACGTTGCGCTGGATGGCATACTATGGACCCAAACCAGCGGCAAGGCGGTGAGTTTGAGGTTTACGCAATCCAAGAGCGGCAACACTCACCCGGATGTCCACCAGGTCCTGCCATTCGACCCCCATAGCCGCGCGGAGGTTGGTGGCTACCCCATTGACATGCGAGGGCGGCTTGGGGATCAGCTCGGCGGGCTGCTCGTTGCCAACACCTGCACCACCGATGTTTCTGGGTGCTGTGACAGCGGCTGCCTGTGCGGCCGCAAGAGCTGCCGCATGTTCAACTGCCTGTGCTGTGGCAGTAGCCTCCGCGGCGGCGGCGGCAGCCTGCGCTGCGGCAGCGGTCTCGGCTGAGGTCTGCAGGGAGATGCGCATCTCTTGGAGAGCAGCAGCGGCCTCGTCGATGGCTTGATCACAGCCATGGTGAGTGGATATATATGCGCACAGAAAATTTTCGCAAACATGCTCACCAAGTTTTTGAGCAGCAAGCTCGGCATTCGCAGCAGCGAGTTGTTGGGTCAACGTGGTGCGCTGCCAAGCAGGTAAGTGAATCACCCATGCCTTCGCACTACCCGCTGAAAGGTGTTACATACCGCCATGATAGAAGTGTGATAAGGATTGTCGGGACTGCTATTGGAGGGAATGTGGGTGGGTGTTTATGATGCGCCAGAAATAATGAGCTCACGTATCGAAATAACAGGAGGGCTTGTGTTGCCAGAACACGGGCGATGAAGAATGGGAGGGAGGGAGAAGGTCAGGGATGGAGTTCGAAGTGGTCGCTAGGGATCAAGAGAGACGGGGAGATGCCACGTCGCGATGCTCTGAGTCAGTGCAACGGGTCTGCTGACATGAGCAGCCTAGCTAGCTAGTAAGTGTTTCTTCCGCAAATGGTTGCGCCATAGACTTACAGGTGTTGATCGCTTTAGGATTGTGTTTTAATTCAGTAATAGACTCCCACGCCCGCGCGTTCAGTTGAATCTGGTGTGCTTCTCGCTGTCCGCGTACTCGCTCTCCCCCCGTTCCCTCCCATCGTGTGTCGACATGTCCTCGAATCTTCGCCGTATGTGCGGGTGTGGGTGCGGACAAGTTGTGACAGCTGCAACCGAGCGCAAGCATCGTCGTGGAAAGGCTCCAATGGCCATTCAAGCTGCAGCTCTCGCTCGCTCTGGTTCGCATCTTGGCACGGCTCGTCCAGGACCTCTTCGAAGATCTTCTGCCCCAATTCGACGATGTAATGTTCAACCTGAAGCGCTTCAAGCCGGAGATGGAGATCTCGGAGTCGGAGACATTGAGATGGATGGTACAGGTGCGGACATGCAAGACCCGGTGCTTGATAATCTTCGTACGTCAGCTCTTTCTGTGCTGTCTGCTGCTATGTCTATAACACCCCGCGTGGTTGCAGTCCCGACCCCCGATCTCGACTCTGCAGAACCTCGTGAAGACGATGTTGGTCGCGCTGAGTCTAGCATACAGTCAGTGTGGGCACGCAGACTGCGTCAACGGACTACGGTTGAAGATGCTCCAAGTGACGATGAAAATGATCATGACGACGCTCCCGCTGGTGACACCACGGCCCGAAACCCTCCTGAAGACGACGACACACCTCCAGGTCATGCCGAAAACGGAGAGAATGCTGCGGAGGACGAGTTCGAGGCGATCTCAGTATTCGATCGTCTCATGGAGGGTATCCTGCGGGCGGGAATCATCTCAGGTGAGTAATTTAACTGGCATCTGCATTTCACGACGTTCCAATTGTCCCTGTCTGTTTAGGAGACGATCTCACTGAGGAAGACCTTGAATACCTCCGGCCGTTCGCATACAAAGTCCACCACCATCTCTCAGGGTCAGCCTTCGCTGAACTGCCGCAATTCTTCCCGGGCAGCAATGTTGCAAGTTGGAAGCTCATTCAAGCTCGAGCAGCCCGGCTCTCCGGGTTTGAGCCTCGGGTTTACGACACCTGTGTGCAGTCGTGCATCGCTTATCTTGGGATTTACACGGACAATGTTGCGTGCCCTTTCTGCTCTCAATCTCGCTACAAACCCCACGGAAATCACATCCCCCGTGCCACATTCGTCTACCTTCCCCTCGAACCTCGCCTCAAAGCACTTCAGGCGAATGCAGACACCGCAAAACGAGCCCAGTACCGCGCACAAGAGCACCACCACGTTCCCGGGGTTGTCACCGACGTCATGGACTCAAAACATTTCCGTGGGCTCCTCGACAAGAAGGTGACCATCGGAGGCAAGGAGTTCCCACATCGGTTCTTCGAGGACCCACGCGAATTCGCACTCGGCCTCTCCACAGACGGCTTTGCCCCCTTCAAGAGGCGTTCGAAGACCGCATGGCCGCTCATCGTCATCAACTACAACCTCCCTCCCGAGATACGCACTCTCCTTGCCAACGTCCTCTGCCTCGGCATCGTCCCTGGTCCGAACAAGCCACGCGACATGGACTCCTTCCTGTGGCCATTCATCCAAGAGGTCCTTCAGCTCATGCGCGGAGTGCACACCTATGACGCCCTCTCCGACACCTACTACGCCCTCCGCGCTTTCCTTATCCTCGTGTTCGGAGACATCCCAGCGATGTTGATGATCATGTCGATGAAGGGACACAACGGCCTCTCGCCGTGCCGCATGTGCGAGATCAAGGGAATTCCAATCCCTGATTCTCGAAGCCACGTGCTTTACGTCCCTCTTGACCGCACCCATCATCCTCGAGTTCGTTCTGGAGCTGACTCAGTCGCGACATACGACCCCAGACGCCTCCCGGTCCGCACACACGACACGTTCCTCCGTCAAGCGGCAGAAGTGGACTCCGCCGAGCACGCAACAACTTCTGAGGAGCTCTCAAAGGCGTACAGCATCAAAGGGACACCGTTGCTAAGCTCCATATCCTCCCTTTCGTTCCCTGACTCCTTCCCATATGACTTCATGCACCTGCTGTGGGAGAACGTCGTCAAGAATCTGATGTCGCTCTGGGCTGGAAGCTTCAAGGGCCTCGATAGCGGCCAGGAGGAGTACGAGATCGTGAAAGAGATCTGGGAGGAGATTGGCAAGGCCGGCGTCGCATCAGGCGAGTCGATTCCCTTCGTCTTCGGCCCACGACCCCCGAACGTCGCCAGCGACAAGATATCCTGGACAGCGGACACTAGATCATTCTGGTTTCAGTACGTTGCGCCTGTTGTTCTCCATGGCCGATTCCTGCACGACAAGTACTACCACCACTTCATCGATCTTGTCAAAGTCGTCCGCAAGTGCCTGCAATTCGAGATAACGACTGATGAGATCGACGAGATCAGGGATGGGCTTGTTGAGTGGGTTCTGAAGTATGAGCAGTGAGTATGCTTGCTGTTTGTCTTCAGGTACTATTGTGCTGACTTCAATGTCGTTCAGGTACTATTATCAGCACGATCCGCAGAGACTCAGCACATGTACGCTCACCATCCACGCTCTCTTGCACATTGCGGACAGCATCTCCAACATCGGCCCTGTCTGGACGAGCTGGGCATTCGTTATGGAACGCTTCTGCGGCGCGCTCAGCCCCGCAATCAAGAACCGCCGATATCCATACTCTAGCCTCAATCGATACGTCCTCGACCATTCCAGACTCTCGCAAATCTGCCTCATATACGGCCAGGGTGTTCATGACCAGCTGCGGAAGAAGGCGCTTCGACCGGAGACCGGCATGCATATTCCCGGATGTGAGTCTTTGTTCTGCTTACAACTCGGATACTGTGCTAAACCGCCGTCTTGGCAGACGAGGACTACGTATTGCTCCCATTGCGCCGCACGATCTCGATCCATCAAGACGAGGGCGCGCTCAGGAAGATCATCGGCGCTCTTGTGACGCGGTTTGAATCAGCAACTCACACAATTCTTCGACAAGCAATACCCGATGAGATAGAAGAATGGGGCAAGATCCGCGTCCGCAACGACGGAGATACAATGCGTGCGTCACTCGTTGGGATCTCTCAGGGCGATGGGAGAGATGCGTCATACATTCGAGTAAGTGACCTTCCTTCTCGTCATCGATTGTTGCTCACACTTGTGTCTTCAGTATGATATTCTCGTGGACAGACTTGCCCACCTTCCCTCCGCTCCCTCTGAGTTCATCTCACAAATCTGCTATGGACAACTACAGCGCATTTTCCATTTTGTTCTCCCCGCGATCCCTACACACGCCATCATGGAGCCTACGCATATCGTTCTCGCGGCTATTGAGGAGAAGTGCAAGATATGGCCGGGTTCGGACCGTCTAGGCCTCGGCATTCACTTCTTCACACTATCTCCTGGAGCCGTCTTCTATGTCGACCTGACCACCGTTAAGTGCGTCGTCAGACGCGTCAAGGACGGACTTGGGAAAGAGGCGATCATTGACCGGACGGGAACAGTCACCCGGGGGCTATATGCGGACAACGAAGAAGAAGAGTGATTGTATGCAAGTACCCTCTGCTAACCCACACAGTCGCCGCCGTGCTCAACACGTCTACACCCTCACCGCGCTGGTCGTCTTGAGGACACCGCACCAAATCCATCCACCCTTTCACTCCCTCCCGCGTCCACGTGCGGATCATGTTTTGGACATGTCCGCAAGCCTGGTACAACCCTCGGCGTGTCCGCCGCGGTGCTCTTGGTGCCATCGCCCTGCCTCACTACCCTCCTCGACAATGCACGCAGCAAAAACAGCACGCTCAAAGCGCGCCTCTCTGAGGTTGACGTGCTCCTGTGCGGCTCACCACCCTCCCGCTGTGCTCGCCACAGCACAAGCCGTCGCCGCCGACTCCGCGAACGACGCCGCAGAGCTCGAAGCCTGTGGCGTGGCGTGCAGATTGCCGCGCTCGAGGCCACCACTGAACGAGCGGCGCGCGGGCGGTGTGACACCCTCACCACGCTCGATGCGCGCATCGCGACCTGCACGATGCCGAGTCTTTCCTCGTCAAGCACGACGATGTGCCCGACGCGGAGGTCGCTACGCTCTTCGGGCGGCTCAACGCACGTTCTCCGTCTGGCACACGCCTCCCCCACCCGACCTCCACCCCAACTAGTACTCTTACCCCGCCCGCCCGTATGAAGATCCCCATGGTCACCCTCACGAGGATCACCTACAGCCTCAACGCCTTCGCTCCGCTCAGTTCTCGTGGATGCTCCTCATGCGGCGGCTCGCGCGAGAGCTCCGTGAGCCTCAATGACATACTCACCGACGCCGAGACCGGGATGGGATGCCCACGCAGCAGTTGCAGGACGTGTGCAGCAAGTTCATCAGAACCGCAATCAACGATTTCACGCTGGCGCGCTCTGACCTACAAGCATGCCTGCACATTCCTCTCTGAGCCCCCGCAACATAAGTCGGAGCCAAACACACCTGAAGATGTTTCCTCTCCCTTCTGCTCCGCCCCGGCCTCCATCATCGCCTCCCACCCACCCTCCCCTCCCCTAGTCTCGCTCACAGAGGCCAACCTCCGTGGCATCCGTCCTCGCCCTCTCCGGCTGCACCGACTCGAGCGGCCTGCGCTGCGACCCCCTCCGCGCGCGCTTCGGCAGTGCGCTGGCCCGCATCAGTGTGCGCGCAGAGCGGCGGATCTCAACCCCCACGAAGGAAGACGTCCTCAGCGGCCTCTTCGAGATTGTCTGGCTGCACCCGGGCCTGCCAGTCGCTGAAGCGACCGCCGCAGACCGCCATTCTCACCTCACCGCCACCCGCTGCCGCGCCGGTCGCCCACGGCACACCGACCTGGAATGGCAAGGAGCGCGAGTGGGCGCAGGAGGTGCAGCGCGCGACGAGCAGCAACATGGACGGGAGCGAGCTCGCACCGGTCGACGCTGAGGACGAGTGGTGTTTCGGGTGGGCATCTTTCGTTATTCCCTCTGGTTATCTGTTATTTGTCGCCCCACATGGCTCTCCTGTACTATCGCTATCGCATCCACCCCACTCCCACCACCTGCTCCCCACGATAATGACTCGAATGACCCTAGCTACAACTTGCGACAACTGAAGTACACGTACTATATCATAGGCCACGTAATGATTGCTTTGCTCATCTTCTAGAATTGTGTGTCACTCGGTCGGGGTTTCCAGGAAGTTCGGACTAGAACATACAAGAGCGGCACCAAAGCCTACCCCTACAACACTTCCATTGTGCCCTGTTCCGCGTACGCACGCCAAACAGCGGAAGCGCCGTCGTGGGTGCGCATCACGTGCTACATTGCGGATCCGTTGATCGCAAAGTTGTGCAAGGTACAGTGCAAAGATGGGATTTGCGAAGTGCTCATTTGTACAACTTCACCACCACCGCATCTTTGCCCCATCTTAAAGAGGGCTTGTGGGTTTTCATCAACTCAAAGTTGGGATTTACCCGAGTTTGAGGGCACGTAGTGTACCTCTGTGCCACCCTGTTCCTTCCCCCCCTTCATTTGGCACTGCAGGCCATATGTTTGGGTGATATGCTGTGACACCTTCTCAGGCCAAGAGAAGAGAGCGTCAGGTGGATGGGATTGAATGGCTTGTTGTGGGTCCGTCCTGTGGGTTGGCCGATCCCTGGACCTGATCCGATAGACATGTACTCTTGTGCTTGCACTTGAGAACACTGCCCTAGGGCACAATGAGTTCTGGGGGCTAGCCATGAATGTGTTGTGTTTGTAGGTGAAGAGGGGATGAGGATGTAGGTAGGTACCTCTCTGTTTATGTGCTGGCACTCTGACGTCACTCTGCAGTGCTCTTTTATTGCCCTATCACTCCTAGAACACTGCCAAATTGCTCCCAGGTGTGTACTCTTTCTGTAGACCCCCCATTTGCATTTTTTATTCCCCTGTGCACATACTGATGGTATGCGTTAGCACAGCGCTCATGGGCGTCTATTTCAGAGGCGCCCACGGCATTACTACATCCACAAGGCCTGTGTGCCATTCATCTCCTTTCTATGCTCTGATTTGCTTCATTTTTGGTGTGTAGCTAGTAGTAGCACTGCACACATGATCTATGTACTTTGTTTTATTGTTTTGTATGCTTTGAGCCCATAACAACATGGAGCCTGGGACCAGCCACCTCACCCATCTCAGCGCTAATGTGCGCCTATTTTCGCTCTCAGCCACAGCCACCACTGCCAGCTACTGCAAGCCACACCCAGCCACCTAAAATTGTCATCCACAAGCCCCAGCTGCAATCCATCCTCTTTTGGTGGGGCTGTGCTACCCAATCTTTGTCAGCTGCCTCTCCCATGCCTCTCCACCATATATGGACACTGTTTGCCACTGTTTGCCCTCTCCTGCCCCTGCCACAGCTGCCACAGTGGCTGAAAGTGCAGCTAGGTGCTCATTTTGCACGCTTTTTTCAAACTCAGCTCAACTTAGCTAGTCCAGCTGCTAGGTGGTGGACTCAAGATCCTTGGGTTCAATCCCTGGTAGTGCCGCTTTTTTCTGCATGTGGCTGTGCTATTTAGGCCTGGTTGTAACAAGGGGTATTCAGGCTTTGTAAAATCCAATCAATTGCCTAAAATCCTGATTATATTCATGAAAGCAGCCACCGTAGAGTGTGTTGCTCATGCACTCACAGCTTTGCTTTAAAGGCATTAGATGAGGCACAGTGTAGATGTTATCACTGGTGCCTACTAACTTTAAATTGCTCTTGTGAGCTCAGTTCTTATCCGTTGGAGGTGATTATATATGCATCAGAAAGCTATGTAGAAGGCCTACATGACTGCAACCTCTTTGTCTTCTCTAGTTCCCCCTTCAGGTGGTCTAGCTATGTAGAATGATATTGTGTATTCTGCCTCTGTTAAATCAAATACAGCACAAATTGAGAAGGGCAGCTATAACACAGGGTGTTGTAACTGTATTGGCATTGATATGCATAATAAGCACTTTAGTCCTAGCCTCCACAATGTTTGGACTCCTGCTATATGTTCTGTTCTTGTCTGTCTGTGGTGATAGTAGTGGTGTGTGACACAACATTAAATGTAGCATATTAAGGTCTCTCATAGCTTCTCATTATATTCTACATCTCATTAATTGTTTTCTGCCAGTAATGGCCCACTCCTACCAAGTTCTATTGCCAAGGACCCCTCTTCACAGACGACCCAACCTTCGCGTTGAAATGCACAGCCCAGCACCTGAGCCCTATACTCCCTTCGACACAATAATCAATGAAGATGAAGAAAGAACCGCAGTACAGGCTCAAGCAGAAGAAGACTCAAGTGAAGACACCATTGAAGAATACTACACCTTTAGAAGGGCCCTGAGGCAAGGCAGAGAAAACCTAAGCACACTCCAGACCAACCTCATCTTAATAGAAAGATTTGGAATGCTCGAGTTGGAAACACTCCACTAGCAACTCACAGACCTGGATGATACTCTCAGCGAATTCTACGGAGTTCCAGACGTGGATGAAGAACCAATTGAACTACCTCTTCACCCGCACGACCCAATCACAAAGCTTGTACAACGCCTCCAGTTCGATGTAGCTAATCTCGAACAGTTTATATTCAACTTCAGGGGTAACTTCATCCATCCAGACTACCCCAACCACCTTGAAGCACTCAAGCGAGTTCGCATCGCTCTTAAAACGGTTCAGGAATATTTGAATGTCAACTGAAGCAAGTGAAGAACCCGATAGATCGTGCAAGAACTACCTCCACATCTTTAATCCAACCAAGACTACCGACTATCACATTACCAGACGAGGATATCAACGGTGCACCACACAATGCTGTCCTATCTGATATTGGGCAGCACGCAAGTACAAGACACCAGAACTAGAATCCCCATATGAACCAGTCTCAGAACTATAGGAAGAACTATTCGCAGCGCAATACCCCACAGGCCTTGAAAGGTTGTGGAAACCACTGCAAACAAAGGAACAACCCCAACCTATGCCCCTGAAACTGGTCAGGATTGTTAGAACCACATTAGGATAATGAGCGAAAGACTCACCCAGGCTCACACCCAGATCATTGACAACCAAGGAGGAACCAGTAACAGCCCCAATCCCAGGAACAAGTCATGCTGGCAAACAACCAGATATAACCTCAGAACCAAAGGAACCAGAACTGGAAATGACAATGGTCACAGAAACAGAGGTAGTGCGAACCACTATCACCAAACCAGTGCAACCAGAAGAAGAATCTGACCACAAGTCTGGAGGAGGCACATTAAATTTTAACTGGGAAGAAATCAGAAGACAGCGTGAAGAAGAAGCAGCAGAGAGAGCACTCCAACAAAGGACAGAAGATACTCAATGGAGCTTCAAATGATGAGGAGTGCCAAGCTTCGCACTGAGTGCAAACCCCACAAATGCAAGCGCTTCAGCAGTAGCGCGAATGTCAACAGTACTGCCTCAACTCTCAAGAATTGCGGCGTACCCACCTCCTGACCCCCTGGGAAACCCACCACCTGCTCCCGCACAAGGAGGAGGGCTGCCAGGACAAGGATCTCCAGGAG